CAAAACCCTTAGACACTTAGCAAAAGTTTAATGATTTTTGTTGAGCTTAAATTTACTGACATTAAAGTGGCACGCAAGAGCAATAAGAACGGGTATCCGGTGGGTAAGTACTAGAACGGTGTATTTGTGATGAAAAACACTTTTTTTATGGCCTTATAAAAATACTTTAGATTTGAAGATTTTCGTTCCATGTCAAACAGGCCAAAGCACTGCCCATAATTCTATGCGATAGAAATTAACGTAAAGCACTTCAAATTTATAATGCAGCAAGTAAAATATGGCAGAATTGAATGTTCAGTTTTACGTAAATGTTGCGACCTTTAGAAGACATCATGTCCATAAATTCGTAAATAAATTTGTCATTCAGTTTGTTAAAACAGTTGTCAGTTATTAGGTAAAGAAGGACTCCTATGTTTTGCGGGTCACTGATCACGACCATAGCATCAGAATTTCGTTTTAAAAATTGCGGAAGATTTGTTTTAATTTATCGGATTTAAATTTATTCGGAAATTTACAATTCTTCACAAAAATATCAAAACTGCTTAAGATTTTAAAATTGGGGGTTCCCGAAATCAGATTTTAAAACTTCAAAATGGTGGACCCTTATTGGATCTACAATTTATCACAAAGGAATCAAATTCGAACGGATGTACATGGCGTATGAGTTACCCAGACGAGATGAGAATGTTACTCATACGCCGTGTACCAATGTTCGGTTTAAATTTTTAATGTTTAATGGTAAATGGTAGATCTAATATGGGCCCACCATTTCGAATTTTTAAAATCTGATTTCATATTCATAACCCGCGACCTTAAGAACCCGCAATTGTAAAGTTTTAAGCGAGACCAGTCGGTTTAAATATTTTGGCCGCCATATTGGGTCCACCGTTTTCAATTTTGCAAATCTGACTTCAGATACCTATTCACCTAACTATTCACCGATATCCCCCGAGTAATAAATTATAAGTAAAATCTTATTGGATCCACCATTTTTAGTATCGAAGTTGTGAAGCTATATTCGTGATCAGCAACCCTAAAGACATTGGAATCCGACTTTACCTAATATCTGACAACGGTTTTAACAAACTGAAAGACAAATTTATTTACGCATTTACAGGCATGACCTTTTTTTAGGCTCGCATATTTAAATGGGCACTACTGAATTTTCGATTCTGCCACATTTTATTTGCGGCATTATAAATTTTCGAGTCTTTTGACATGCTTTACGTTAATATCTATTACATAGAATTTTGGACAGAGCTTTGGTCCGTTTGACATGGAACGTCCCATAGCTACGTAGTTACTTTTGTAGGTATGTATGTAGTTATGAATATTACTTTCGGGTTGAATTTTTCCTACATTTGTTATAAAGTAATTTAAGTAATTTAAGAGGAAAGTAACAGCCGTCTTTTAGGTCGAGATGCGTGAAATTATGTTTCCGATATGTGTGTACATATGTACGTATTATTGCGCATATGCGTGGGAGTGCACTTGGCATCCCATGGCATCCAGATGAATAGCTACATAACTATGTATATACATGGAAATAGCAGTCAATAAAAATATGCAGCAGCGCATGCGTACATATCTCCATGTACATATATCTACGAGTATCTCCACTCGACGTAGTGCATATGCTCGGTCGGGAATGCAAAATATTTTGTAAGCGTTTAAGTGAGCGTACAAGTACTGGTGTGTGCGTTTGCATTTGCCAGTGATGCAGGATGCGTACGAA